GTCTCAGTTCGCGATTCTAAAAAATGTCTTGGCAGTCAATCAGGTCAGTTCACTACCTCCAGACTGACAGTTTGAACCGCAAAGATGAACTGACAACTGACTGATTGACTGATAGCAACTCTGGTACAAGGGGACGCGCCCAGTGCTCCGTGTATGTTAGTGAGGATGACGAATGAGACACAGAAAGCAGTCGAAGCTACCTTTTCGTCTGCATTGAAGGATGCATTCCAGATTTGTGTAAATTGTGAGAGGTCTGAGGGATCGATATTGTGTTCACCGCCGAGGTAAGAGGATTGAAAGATATCGGAGTCTTGGGGGGAGTCTGATGGTGCGCCTGTTCTTTGTGCTGTCGCACAGATCGCAGCATGCGTTGCAAAGACGCACAGCGCAAGAGTATGCTTCAATGAACGCATTATGGAGGTTAGCATAAAACGTGGTTTGTTGCACACACCCTACGGATGCCACTCAGTTTATGAACAGAAGGCATGCAGACCTCGGGATCTGTTAAGCTCGTGGGAAACTAATTACATGCAGAGTTATGACGATGGTATCTAGGGTCTTGATCGCTTTCAATCTAATGGTCGTGGCTCGTGGTCGGTACTTGGGCCATGTAGATACCGGGTATTCTCCGCGACCAGGATGGCTATATCATGTATATTGGTTTGTGGGGCAATGGTCGAGCGTCAACCGGGTATTCTCTACTTTTCAACATACCAAGGTTCAATGTATCTCTTTTGTGATGATGTTGTTATTCATTCTAGTGCTAATTGGATAGGAAAATTGCTTGTGAAGAGGTCAGCGCAGGGCTCAGCAAGTAACCGACTGACGAGGCTTACCTTTTTCGCTACTTTTACAATACCGCGGAGCCGAGACTTGTCCGCGGTATAGAAGGGACGGTTCTCTCTTCTTACTCCTCTCGCTGCCGGCTCGGCTCTCGAGACTGTTCTACACTAGGAACTTGGTCCCCCACTCTCTGCAACAGCGGTACGCGTTCTGCATCTACATTACCCTCTCCCTCAGGATCATCGTACAGCATCTTCTTCCACTCGCCCTTGCGCACCTTTCCGACCCTCCAGGTTCCGGTCTCACCAGCCTCTTTGAAGAAGTCCATGTTCTCGTCGAAAGTCCTTCCACCAGTCTCCGGAAGATAGAAGTATGTCCACAGACCGGCGAAGGCATTGGTCGCAGCGAAGACGAGGAAAATGAAGTAGTCAAGGTTGTTGAACAGGACGGGCGTAAGGAATGTGATGGCAAAGTTTGCGAGACCCCAGATGATGACGGAGATAGCAGTACCTTGAGCACGTGCGGTGGTCGGGAAAACTTCTGTGGGGAAAAGCCAGACGGTTGAGAGCCAACCAATTCCGAATGCGCCGGTGGCTACAAACAAGATGACAGTTCCGATGATCCCAGGAATGATAACGGGAATATCAATGGAGTCGGACTTGGCTACTAGACCACCAAAGACAGCAAGAAGTGCGAACGAAGAGGATAAAACGATAGAACCTTGGATCATAAGTTGGCGCCGGCCAAGAGCGTCGATTAGAAGCCAAGCGAGCGTCATGAGGAAGAAGTAGGATGTGTAGTTTCCAAGAGTCAGGTACTCGGAGTTGCGGACAGAGAAGCCAAGGAGCTGTTCTCAATGGTTAGTATTGCTTCAATAGACGATACCCTCGTAACCGTGTTCACTTACCTCAAAAATCTGCGGCCCATATACACTGACTGCGCCATATCCTGTGAGAGCTTGGTTGACTTGGCACATGACTGTGACCATAGTAGGATGGAATTGCTCGTGCCCAGGTGTGAGCATATCCAAATATCCAACCTTCACATCCTTCTCCTTCTCATGCTGTTCGAGCAGCTCATCAAGCTTCTCCTTTCCTTCATCTCCATAGATATCGTTTAGCGCGTTCTTTGCATCTTCTTGGCGGTCATGGAAGATGAACCAGCGCGGAGATTCTGGAAGGCGTTCAACAACAGCCATGAGCAGAACAGGGTAGACCTGCATGACGATGATGGGAATGCGCCAAGCCCATTGATTCTGCTTGCCGAGAAGAATAGTGACGAGCAAGTTGATACCGAAAGCCATGACGAGACCAAAGATGTTGGACTGGAATTCCTGGGCCAGCGCTTTGCCACGAGAGTCGTCTGAGCTCAACTCGGAAGAGTAAGTTGGAATGACTGCGTCGATACCTCCAACACCCAATCCCATAACTACTCGTCCGGCTAGCATGACACCCAATGCGATCTCCGTGCTCTTGCCTAACATGCCCATTCCAGCCACGAACATGATCAAGTTACCTAAACTCGCCGTCGCCAGACTGGCGAAGATACTCTTTTTCCTTCCCAGCTTATCAGCGAGCATGGAGAAGAGTACAGCGCCAACCGCACAACCGAGGTAGTAGACAGCCACGATAACGCCCACAACTGGTGACTCCTCCTCAAGGCCCATGGTGGAGAGGTAGTCATTGTTCGTGTTGATGAGGGACATCATACCCTGATCGTAGCCATAGAGGGCGATAGCCGTGGCCGAAAAGATGACGACATTTGTTTGTTTGTCGGTGACGGCCTGTTTCGCATGTTCGACGATGAACGACATCGTGACTGGTGCCTGGCGGCGAATACGAGGCTGCGAAAGTTCAATTGGCAAAAAGAAAAGCTCGCAGAGGTCGTGTAGAGTGAAGGAGAAGCTGACGAAGGGGGGAAGTCTAGATCTTCAGCATTTCGCAAGCCAGAACAGCGGTAGGCGTTTGACGCTACTTTGCATGCTTCTTGGTCAGCTGGAAGCACGTACGGGAAGATCCAAGGGTTGTTTTTCGACCTATGACGAGTGTATGCAGGGACGCGATATCGATCTTAGACTAGGTTCTGGGTACGCCCCACCTGTTTTCCAAGGGCCCCTTGTCAGAAATGGCTCCCATCGGCTTTGCTCTAGAATTTCCCATTCATGTTTGGTGTTGATAGATGCGTCTGCGCATCTTTTCCTCATCGTTACTTCAAAAACGTGTAGCGATTACTGTAGCTCGCAGCCTGGTCGATGTTGTGCAGCTCTGCTAAGCTTCAGATCCCGCGGCATAAGATGCTTAGCGCCACCAACTATTAGCAACATCGTACTCGATCGATCGCTTACTTCTTCTGCCTCGCGACATCATCGTCAATCCTCCTGTCCACTGCGTATCGCGCTCATTGGGTACTGCTTCGACAGGCTTCGGTCGTTCAATACCATTTTGTTGGCTGGAATGGTCAGTCGCACATGCTCGACGAACCTCACCATGCGATAAGATGGAAAACATAATCAAAGCAGGAGCATCTTGTTCATTACTGAATACTCTTCAAGAAAGAGTTGTTAAGCAGGCGTGAAGCTCTACTGCCAACCATCATCTAAACCCTTCATGCTTTTAAAATCGACACCAACCACTCTCGTCCTCTCATCCCCAGGTTCTTTGCTCCTCTCAGGCCTTTGCTGAGGGATTAAGGCTCCGAAATGCCTCTCAAGCTACGAAGAGAACCTTGTTAAGCACGCAGTGTGCAACGCCACCACCCCATTCGCACTTCATGCCTTGACCACAGTCAGAGGACCACAACCAATGTTTTCCGGACTGATCGCAAACAATGGTCCAATCCGTCATCGTGTCTTTGCTCCACGCGCAGCCAAATTCACCAGGACGGCAAGATGCTGTTGGAGCCAAGTCTGCTGGAACTTCGGACAGTTCCTCACGAGCTCCAATGGTGGACTTCTGGGGAACACAGTGCGCGTCACCATTGGCGTAGTCGCATTCCATACCACGGCCGCAGTCGGATGACCACACCCAGTTTCCAGACTGGTCACACGTGATGACCCAGCTGGTCTGCGTGCCGTTGCGCCAGCCGCAAGCGTAGGATCCAGGTGAACAGTTGCCAGACAGAGTCAGGTCTGGTGAGACTTGTTCTGGTTCATCGCGGCGAGAGACTGAGGCAGAATTTGTGTTCCACTGATCTCCTTTGTTCCAGCAATGAGCGACACCGTCCTCCCTCGCGAGACAGTTCTGATCACCGCAATCAGACGAGTACTGTAACTTTTGGTTCCAGCCGCAGACGGTGACCCATGGGGTATTGGTGGAAGGGTTCAGCACGCAGCCGTATGTGCCAGGTACACATGGACCTAAATGGGGGCATACCAAGTCAGTAGGTGTCTCACATGTAGATTGTTCAAGGGTATCTCTTACCGTTCTGGGGTGGGTGATCGGCACGCGAGGCCAAGTTGGCATAGGTCTTCCACTCCTCGCCCGGGTTCCAGCAATGAGCGACGACGTTGTCCGTGATGCAATCTGTTTCGCCACAATCGGAAGAGTACTGGTAGGTACCCTTGTAATCGCAGACCACGATCCAGGGACTATTCTGCGCGCAGGAATAGGTGCCAGGTACACAGTTGCCACGCGAGACCAGCGTATCGGACGTGGTGACTGGCAGAGCATGGAAGTCGTGGTCGGATTCAGGCTGTGCAATCCACAAAACCCTGTTAGCAGCGTACAGCCGTTGAGGATGATAGTGCAGATAGGCAAGAAAATAGAGAGGAGAAGTGAGGCAAGAGCATCGCGAGTCCGAGTAGTCAGGTCACATATTGACTATCTTCAGATCTCGTTGAGCCCAGGGACAACGTAGAACAAGGGCACTCCAAGAAAGCTTGTGTCAGTCTAGCATTTGCACTGAACGGCATTTGCGTTGTCGGGTCGAGCCTCGCAGCACCCATCGCCACCAGGACACTTGCCAACCGACCTCCACATGTAATCGGCAATGTCGCAGACCACAATCATGGAGTTGTTCTCTCGACAAGATTGAACTCCCGCTTGAGTCTGCTTACAAGAGCCATACGTGGTGGCTGGGACGATGGGGGAAGAAGTGATAGAAGGAAGTGAAGTTAAAATGTCCTCAGACTGTAAACTAACCTTGGTTGTGTCCACGTCGCCGATGTCTCGCTCAAGGACGTCCATGTTCCTACAGCAAGAACACTTGTCATGGCACTTGGTACCCTTCTTGCAGTAGCGATCGGTCTGGCAGAAACCATACTGGCAGACCAAGACACCAGTGTGGTCTAGATATGGGTACACGAAGTCAGTAGATGTCTCATATACCATTCGTGTGGTAAAACTAACCATTCGAGCACTCGTATGTCTTCTTTGCCTCGGCGTTGACCTCGGTCTCGGTGTCGCGCTTCTCCGATGCCTCGACAGCGACGGTTCCGGAGCCGATGCAGCCAGCGCCCTGGTGATCCGCAAAGCACTTGGTCGAGCAGTGTTCGACGAAAGAGCAGGTGCCAGAAGAAACACAAGAGAGGACGTTCGTGTTGCTATCACACTTGTAACTGTAGAAGGTTAGTAGACTGCTTCATGAGAAATTCAAAGAAAGTGAGGTAGCTTACGAGTGGATACCGTTGTTCTTGTACTTGGGGACCGTAATGGCGGTGGTCTCGACTGGCGAGGCAGCGACAAGCGCTACTAGGCCGAGGAGAGCAAGGAGGAGGAGCTTCATGGAAGCGGTGTTCTAGTCGTTGATCTTGTTGTTATGTGTGTGATATAGATTGAAGTGGTTGATCGTGGAGAAGGATAGAGGAGAAAGGTGAGGAGGAAGAAGAGAGGTCGAAGAACCGCAGGCTTATAACTACCACAGGTGGGAGCGTTTGTTTGCTACACCACTAGGCAGAAGCTGGTGGACGGCACTCACCTGGGCAATTCAGGGTCCAAGCTGTGGAGAGAGTGTTTGGTCGGCGCGGAGCGGTGAGATTGAGATTGAAATTAGAGAGGTAGTGAAGGTGGAAGGAGTTACATGCACACTATCCGTGCTCCCGACCAGCATTTTGACCGCCGCCTGGATGAACCAGTGAAGGTGCCAGATCATTTCGTGGGCTAACAGTCTGTATGAAGTGAGATACTAAGCAACGAACAATCGGAAAACAATTCAAGCCGAATGGCAGCATGGTGATAAGGGTGCAAACAGCTGTGCGGTGCGCATCTATACCCTCAGATACAAGGTGGAGAAGTACAGCTCAGCATAATAGTCCTCCTCGTGGAATGCAGTCACGTTTGTACGATCCGCTACACCGGGTTAGCGCGTCAAGGACCTCTACATTCCAGGAACGTATCATGTAGCACGAGCACTCATGCGGCACACCATATCAGACACAAAAGTATATATAGAGAGTTACAGGCAGGAGTGGAAGGAGCACTGTAGTTTTTTGAAGAAGAAGAAATGCTTTTTGATTCATCATAAGGATGCAGCTAGGCGAAGAAGTCATAATCTATCGCTTGATGCAAACGCAATCAGTCATCCAAGCCTCTATAAAACGCCGAGCAATGCAAATCTGCATGGTCTAAGATATCATAACGCGATCGTAATCCGAAACAGCCGTAAAGACACTCACTCGGCCTCGTCATCAGTGTTGGGTGGTTGAGGTGTACCCTGGTCAAACAGTTAGCAAACCGTTCATGATGTTGACAATAATGGAAAAGAGAAAACATACCTTGGGACTGTTCAACCAGTCGATGTACCTCAATCTACGCCTGACCTCCCTGTCCTTGAGTTCCTTCTTGGTCATCTTCTTCTTCTTCCTTGACCTGAACTTCATGTCATCTTTGTTACCCTCGGCGTCACTCATGACTGGGGTACCAGTTGTTGACGGCGCAGCGGAGCTGACGTTACTGCTAACGTTGCTGGATCCAGGGCGCGAGTCTTCGAAACGGTCCATGTTGACGGCAAGGTGACCCTTGTGAGTTACGCGACCGTCGGCGACGTGCCACTGCTCGGGGCAGAGAGCACCAACGAATTCTTCGTTATGCGAAATCATGATGACACCACCCTTGTAGTCACGAATGGCAACAGCGAGACCACCGAGCGAGTCGCGGTCCAAGAAGTTGGTGGGTTCGTCGAGAACGAGGAGATGCGGGTTGTTCCACATGGCACCGGCAAGCACAACCTTGACCTTCTGTCCTCCGGAAAGACCAGAGATCTCGTTGTGGTTCGCAATCTCGGGGTCCATGCCGAGATCTTCAAAGTGCTTGGAGATGACCTTGGGCTCGAGGACACGGTAACCGAGACCCTCACGGGAGGACTCGTGATCGTCGAACTCCTGCACAAGCTTGCTGAAACCCTTCTCAATGAGAGTCTCACGCGAGATGTGCGTGTTGAACTTGGGCAGCATGTGCAGCCATTTGACTTCGTACTGGAAGGTCTTCTTGTACTTGGAACGACCAATGAGCGCCTCAATCTTGCGGGGGCCCTTGCCGTCGCCCAGATCGATGGGAGTTTCCATCTGCTTCTTGTCTTCCTCAGTGAGCACACGTGTCTGCTTCATGAGCACCTCACGGTCATCACCGTTGGCGTATCGCCATTGGAGATATTGGTTGGGCGTCTTCTCCATGTGCATCTCGACGTGCTCGAGAGCGTGCTGCTTGATGTAACCGATACGCAAGTTGGGGTGCTTCTCGACGGTACCCTCTTGAGGAATAGTCTCGCCAGTAAGCATCTTAATGAGAGTAGATTTACCAGCACCGTTGGCGCCAATAATGGCAACTCGAGACGAAAGAGACAAATTGCAAGAAGCATCAACAAGCGATGGCTTGGAAGCGCCAGGGTACGTGTAGGAGCAGTTGGTCATACGCAGGATAGAGCGAGTGTTCGACTTGACACCAGTAAGAATACCGGGAGGAGGGAACTTGAACTGCACCTGGGTAGCCGAGAGAGTGTAGTAGCTCTTGGCTTCAGGCTTCTGTCGAACGAAATCGGCAAGGTTACCCTTGTAGCAAACCAGCTTCTTTTGCTCGTAGTGGTAGATGTCTGTGCAGACCTCGTCAAGGAAACCGGAGTCGTGAGAGACGATCAAGCTAGTAATCTCGGTGTGAGACTTGAGGTACTTTCCGAGCCAGGCAACGTTGGCAACATCCAAGTGGTTGGTGGGTTCGTCGAGAAGAAGCACGTCGGCGCGCATAAGCATAGCACGCGCCAAAGCGAGCTTCATCTTCCATCCACCAGATAGAGAGCCGACCTTGTGGGACTGCCTGCCTTCGGGGCCAGCGGTGAAACCGACCTCCTCGAGAACTTCTTCGATACGTTCCCTGCTCTCGTCCGCGAAGCGCGGGTCGCGGACGATGTACTCGAGAATGGAGAGATCGGCATCCTCTCCTTGGTTGTGCTCGACAAAGCAGGTCTTGACTTCGTCTTGAGGAGGGAAACCTTCGAGCTTGCCGCTCGCAATGCTGCGCATGAGTGTAGACTTTCCAGCACCGTTACGGCCACAGAGACCATAGCGGTGACCCTTGAGCAGGCGAAGATTGGTGTGCGAGAGGAGCAACATACCACCGTAACCGAGGGAGAATACGGCGTTGACAATCTCGACCTCGCCATCGTCCTCCTTGACGGGCTGGCCAAACTTGCGGTGGTCTTCGTCCACGTAGAACTGGTGCACGGCCTCTGCGACCTTGTCGGCGTCTCCAGCGTTGACCAGAGGCTCCAAGTAGGGTCCAACGAGCTTTGGGATGCGCTGAAGCTCCCGCTGGTGGACAACTTCCGCAATCATTTCAGAGATGTAGCGCTTAGTGACAGCCAAAACCTCGGCGTCTCCAGGGAAGTCGAGCACCTTGGCAGTAGCGCTGAGCTGCTTCTCAATGACGCTTTGGACTTCTGATGGCTGTACCCTGGCGATGGCGCCGCTGTCGATGTTGTGGTCTGGGTCGGCCATGGCCTTCTCAATAACGTCCAGCGCGCGCTGACCGATCTCACGGACTTCGGGCAGGGAAGCGCGGTCCTTAACGGCCTTGACACCTGGGCGGAGCTTGGGCAAAAAGGCGCGAGCCTCAATGGGGTCGTGGACGAGCTTGGTCAAGTTCTCAACTACGACAACGGTCTGGCGAGTGACCTCCTGAGATGTGGTGGGGGTGTTCAGGGAGCGCTCAAGCAGGGGTGTGACCATAGCAAGAACGGGAGATGTGACGATAGCGACGAAGGTAGTCTGGGAGAGAGCGTGGATAGCCTTCTGCAGACTCTGTGTGGAGGGGTCCTCGATAGCCTTGACAAGGAAGGGTATCCGGGGCGCGATATCGTCGTTCTGGATGAGGGTGGTGAGGCTGTTCATCGTCTTGACGGACTGTTTGGCGACCTGTTCAGAGTTAGCAAGCTTCCCTTTCAAGAGTGCGTGTGGTATCTTACCTCGGACTTGAGGTCGTGCATGCCGGCTTCGACAATGGGGATGAGACCCTCGAGCTTCTTGCCCATGGCGTCACGGAGAACATCCTTCTCCTTCTCCACCTCGAGGCTCTCCATGCCCATCTTGGCCTTGTCGGCCATGCGGCCGATGAGCTCATAGGCGAAAGCAGCACCTTGCCACTTTCCGGACTTCTTGCCCAGGTACTGTGTCAGCACAGGCAAGAGACCCCAGATCTTGGCCTCGGCACTGAGGTTCTCGAAAAGCGAGTCAAGGGCGTACTTGGCCGACTCCTTGACGGAGGCAGTCTTGTCTGCCAGCAAGTCGAGGGCGAGCGGGACTAGCGCCGCGTCCTGGACGAGGAAGATAACCTCGGTCAGGCGTTGTGTGCGTGGGAGACGCTCGAAGAAGGCACCAAGGGCGTTCATGGCACCCTCTCTCCTCACGGCGTCCTTCTTGTTGGCGGCTGACTTCTTGATCTCCTCGAGTATGCCATAGCCAGTCAGGCCACGGAAGCCGACCGAGTTCTGGAGGAGGGTGGTGAGGGCGTAGGCGGCGTCGACGGAGGCGTGCGACGTCTTGGCCGTGACGATGCTGCTGATAAAGGCGCTGACATCCTCCTGCGAGGGCGCGGGGGCGGCGCTGGCCTTGTCGACGACGATAGCAGGAGCCATGGGCGGCGACTCAGAGTGCGGCATCTGCGAGAGAAGCCTGCTGTGCCTGGGTGCTGTGCTGGCTGTGAAATCCGCGACGAGGGATTTCTTTTTTGGAGGGGCTCCTTATCGATAGGTATCGCCTTGTTCGCGGCGGCTGAAGCGTGAGTGGTGCCCAACAGCGCGAGAGGGTGAAGAAACCCGGGTATCAAACGTGTGAATGTAGAGACGCCCCAACGGAAGAGTGGAGAGTCTATACAATACAAGAAAACTGAAAAAAGGTGCGAGGACACAGGGGAGGGAGCGTCGAGGGGCCGTCTTGTATATTCGCGCGCTGGACTAAATTATTATTTCACCCACGGGTCAAAGCGCCGCTTGACTGCACGTTTTTCGTTTTGCCCGCCCTAGTCCCCATCGGCTCCCTGCAGGGCTGCTGTTCTCTCCGGATATACCATCCTGCGCCTACACCGTATCTCTGCTTACCAGCTGCACATGCCTAATTGGTCCATCCTGAAACATGGCAAAGCAAACTATCGATGCAACTCTGATGCGACAAACTCAAAAGGTATACGACGTCCGAAACCTCTACGCCAGTATCGCACGCGTCTCATCCTTCAGACTCCTGCGCGTCTGTTGCGTCTGTTCGCTGTACCGCAATGCCGTCTCCATATGCCTCGGGCAGT